TTCCACCTTCCACACTAAAACGAGCTCATTTGGAAAGTTATACTTCACCACCCTAGTTCAAAATCTTAAGAGGCAAAGCAATAATGCAACCAATACATACCCAAAATGACATCAAAATCAAGAATATCAAGTTCTACTAGTTCAGCAAAAGAAACTATGTTGGGAAACTTTATAGGACAATTTCCATACACCCTTTTTGCAACAACCTACTCACCCACTAGGTTAGACACTATAAAAGGTTCATGCAATATATCGGGCAAAATGTCAAACTTTTTCGCTATTAGAGGACTAACAAATGATAAGGTAGCACCCGGATCAAGTAAGGCATATGCATCAATAGAGAAGACTTTAAACATACATGTCACCATGTAAGAGTGCGTCTCTTGATCAACCCTAGAGCGGAGAGCATTAATGCAATTCTTCTTCGAAGCCTCATTTGAACCACTTTCTTGAGCTTTACCACTACCCTTGTCTTGAACCCTCACATTAAGGCAATCCCTAAACTTGTGAATACTTTTACCACAACAAAAACAATTTTTCATTCCATTAAGACAATCACCATAGTGCTTCTTCCCATAGTTTCCACAAGTTGGCTTCTTTGTTGGTGAACTAGTATCCCTTCCCTTTTAAATCTTAGGGTTATACATACTATCATCCTTTGCCTTAGGGAACATAGAAGGAAATTCATTAGAAACCCTCGTCTTAACTTATGCTTGTCTTGAATCTCAATACAACTATTTGAAGAACCACCATCAAAAGATCTTTCCCTCTTGACATCTTTAATATTCATCTTAGCCCTTGCCTCTTCCATTTGTTGAGCATGAACCATGATACTAGAAATTTTCATATTTTCATGTAGCACAGCCGAATGAAATTCCTCTTGCAAGTCATCCGACACTCTAATGTATCATGGCTTCACGGTATTTTCAATGCATTTTCCTTAAGTTTAGTATGTATCTAAGTCCTATTTGAATTGGTTTTGATATAGTTTTCTCTTTTTTTGTAGGAAATCTGTCCAAAAGGAGAACGTGGGAGAATTGTGTTGAAAATTGCAGAACTGACGACCTAAGGAGCCGTCAACGCTCAATCATGACCTCAACGGTCCGTAAGTAGCCACCGTCATATGGAGAAAAAGGTCGCTAAAGAAAGTTGGTGAACTTTGACTAAGTGGGAAGCTACGAAGGCTCTCGACGAACCGTCATAGCCATCAACGGACTTTCTTGCATGCAACACACTCTCATCCATGTCCTTCGATGGTAACAAATTTTTGGTGAAGAAACCAACAAAAAATGAAGTTAAGTATGTAACGACAGAGGTCCTCGATGGTCTGTCTCTCCAGTCGTCGACTCAGACGCGTTTTTGGGCAGATTTTCCTTAAATATAGTTTCATTTTTTTTAAAACATTATTATTATAAATACTTGTAAAAACCTCGTTTTTGGGGTTAGACTCTTTGATATTTTCTAGTTATATTTTTCCAAGTGTTGAATTTTTGGATTTTGTAAAAATTACTTTTTTTTTGGAATAATTGCTGCAAATTTTTTGATTAATTAAAATAATGTTCTGGATTTTCTTCAATCTCATCATAGTATGTGCATGAATTCTTATCTAATTCATATGAATTGTGTGATTTTTAACATGGGTAACTAAACTCCATAAGTAGGGTTGTGTGAACCATGGATAAATAACAAGGTAAAACCTAGGTAAACTAACAATTCTCGAATAGTGTCTTGCATGTATTGATAAATCTTTCGTTTAGAAGTCTTTTTAACGAGTGCACGCGTTAACACTTGCCTTGTTGCTACTTGCAGAACTAGTGAGGTAGATAATAAGAAAAGAATTATCCATGCATATTAAGTATATAGTATCTAATTGGTTACTGTCGTTCGGTGCGAAGTAAAAACTAATCCTAACACCAATTATTATGCTTAATATGATGTAAAGGTAAGGTTTAGTAAAGGATACATACATAGCCGTACCAAGGTGCGGAGTGAAATTCCCTAGTTGTCGGACCAAGGAATTATGGATACATAACTTACCACTTTGCATGTAAGATACTAGGAAAGAATTGTTATGACTAGAATTACTACGTTATGAACCCTTGTAGGGAACACTTAATCCCTAGTTAGTCTCATTACTTGATAAAAATCAAAACTTTGAACCTGTTACTTATTTACTTAGAAATAGCAAATTACATTTATTGCTTTAAACTCCCCTTTTTCTTACTTGTTTCTTGGGAAGGACTTGACCAAAATAGAAGTAATAATAGGTTAGAGTTAAGTCTAAATTATTTTCCTCATTGGATCGACCCTAACCTTACAGTTGGATTCTTTATTTGATACAACCGCTTATACTTCTTTCCGAGAAGTAAATTTGAGCGTATGAAATATTGGCACCACTGCCGGGGAAAGTGGCCTTTAGATTAATTTTAAGCTCATTACAAAAGTTTAATAAACATTTTCCTGATTTTATTTTTCCTCTTTGTTTTTATTTCTTGCATATCAAACTTCCGTGTATGACAAGTACGTAGAGTAGAGGAGAATACATACTCTCACCCGACCCCGAACTAGAGATTATACTCCACATAATGAATCACAATTTCGGTATTCTTCATTATGATCAAAACCCAGAACTTTCACAATCGAGTGATGCTCATGATCAACTATTACCTGAAAATTGTGGGAAGACAAAATATGGAGGAAACCTCCCTCTCCAGGCTCTCAAGAGTATTATAGGAGATACGATAATGTTACTTACTCTGACGGGCCACTTGTCTTGCCTCCCCTACAACACAGACATACATTCCTGGTAACTAGTAGTCTGATGCAAATGCTCACTGTTAGAGATTTGTTTTCTAGGATACCTTTTGAAGATCCACATCCTCACATCACTAAGGTGAGGTCGATGTGTAAGTGTTTTGTAGAGAGGCCTAATTTGAATAGGGTTGAGAGTGTTTCCTCTTTTAGTGATGGGAGAGGTCTCTATATGGTTTACCAAGCTCTCTTATAACTCAATCTACACTTCCAATCAATTGAGGGATGTGTTCTTTGCATGTTACTACCCGTTTTCTAATAATATAAACTGCAAAGATAGGGTGAACAACTTTGTGGCACTATTGGGAGAATCGGTAAGTAGTTCTTAGGATAAGTTCACCTCGTTCTTAAGAAGTGTCCCCAATCACCGCATAAATGATGAGTCACTAAGAGAATACTTCTATTAGGAATATGATGATAATAATAAAGCAGTACCTGATACGATAGAGGTTGGTTCTTATGGGGGGTGTCCTTATGGTGAGATTGCTCAGACGTTGGACGAAATCTCCTGAAATAATAAATCTTGGAGCACTAGAAAGTCAAACTCTAAGAAACACTTTTCTAGTGCAATCTATACACAACCCATCCACATATAAGATTCGTGAATAAATATCTCAAATAAGAACTAAGCTTGGGTTGGTGTTGAAGCACCTCACTAGGGTGTAGAAAAGGTAAATGTGGCGAACTACTTGTCTAAACCCCCACCGATAACTGATGACTATTACTATGAGGAGGACTCTTAAGTGGTAAGTGAGCAGTTATGGGGTTTCTGACTAAACGGCCAAGGCTCGAATCAGGAGAATTGACACAAAGGTCAAGGAAATCAAGTTTGGAACTATAGTAATTACAACCAAGAGGGTAATTATGTACGAGATAGTAAATACAACCGCGACAAAAACTTCAACCGGGGTATCTATGATAACAGAAATGATAGGAGTTGGCCCTATGTTCAACCTCAAAATAGTTAAGTTGCTCCTAGGGATAGTGGAGGTATTATGGCGCGAGTTGAGGATATATTACAGAAAATGATGAGGAGGTTTGATGCGAGTGATGAGCACACTAAAGAGTTGAGGAGTAACTTAGAGAGTACTAGGCAAAAACATGATACACATGCAATCTCGATCAGGCATCTTAAGTTGCAAATGGCCCAATTGTCTTTGATTGTCAACCCAGACAAACCGGCTATTCTTTCTAGCAATACTATCCAAAACCCTAAAAATAATAGACATTTTATGGCATTCACAACTTGAGGTGGTAAGCAAACCAATGACCCATCGGTGCCATCTGATGTAGAAAATGTGATAAGAGGTGATGATAAGGTAGTGGAGGTTAGTGGTGAGTTAGAAGGTAAAACGGGGAAAGAAGTTGAGGTACCCCAAAAGCCTAGACCACCACCTCCATTCCCACAAAGGTTAGTGAAAAAAATTGAGAATGGTAAATACCAACATTTTATCACTATGCTCAACAACTTTCCATCAATGACCTTTTGATAGAAGCTCTTGAACAAATGTCAGGTTATGCCAAGTTCATGAAATATATGGTCTTTAAGAAAAGATCAGTAAGTTTTGAGGATGATGACTGAAAGAAGAATTGTAGTGCTACTCCTACAAGGTCTCTAATGCAAAAGAAAGAAAATCTGGGTGCCTTCACTATTCCATGTACAATCGAGTTATTACACATTGCGAAAGCATTATGTGATCTTGGGCAAGCATAAATCTCATGCTTTTTTCTATTTACAAAAACTTGGGTTTGGGTGACCCAAAGACCACTGCGATGTGGCTACTGATGGCCGATCAAACGGTGAAGAGTCCAATTGGGATACTCTATGATGTGCTAGTAAAGGTGGTGTCGTTCATATTTCCAGTTGATTTTGTGATTCTGGATTATGAGGTTGATTTTGAGGTGCCTATTATTCTGGGGAGGTAATTAAATTTCGGTTGAACAATGAAGAAGTGACTTTCAACATTTGTAGGTCCATAAGGCAAAGTGGTGATATCCAATCGGTATCTACCATATCTTATAGGGATGAAAAGTAATATGAGGTACAAATATCAGAGCATCTGGATGTAAAATCACTAGCGGCAATGATCATGAATTATGAGAGTGACTATATTGCATAGTATAGGTCATTGGTCGCGAAACTTGATCGAGGTGATGTTCAGTTTATACCAAAGAAGTTGTAAATAGATATGAAGCATCGCGATTCTCCACCCATGAAACCATCTATAGAGAAGGATCCAAAAGTAGATATTAAGGCTTTACCACCTCATTTGAGGTATGTATTCTTGGGAAAAGTTGACACTTTGCCGATAATTATTGCAGCAGATTTGAATGTGAATCATGTCAAGAGTTTGGTGGAAGTGTTAAAAAGGTTTAAAAGATCTATTAGATGGACTATTGAGGACATTATTGGAATCTCTCACAGGATTTGTTCGCATAAAATCAAACTCATGCCCGGTCATAAGCCAAGTATTTAGCAAGAGAGACGTTTAAATCCACCTATGCAAGAGGTGGTGAAAAGGAAATCATTAAGTGGTTTGACACTGGAGAGATATATCCAATCGCCATTAGTAGCTGGGTATGCCATGTTCAGTGTGTACATAAGAAAGGGGGAATGACTGTGGTCCCCAATGAGAAAAATGAGCTTATTTTGATTAGGCCGGTTACTGGATGGAGGGTATGTATGGATTATCGGAAAATTAATGCATGGACCGAGAAAGACCATTTCTTATGCCTTTTATTGTTCAGATATTAGATAGACTTGCAGGAAAGAGGTGGTACTGATTTGTTGATGGCTATTCGGGTTATAATCAGATTTCTATTGCACCGAAAAATCAAGAGAAAACCACATTTTCTTGTCCATATGGGACCTTTGCATTCAAGAGAATGTCATTTAGGTTATGTAATGCACCAGCCACATTTTAGAGATGTATGATGTCAATATTCTCCAATATAGTATAGGACACTATAGAGGTGTTTATTGATATTTTTTCAGTGGTTGGTCACTCCTTTGAGCGTTGTTTGAGTCATTTTTACAAGGTTCTTAAGAGGTGTGATGATTGCAACCTTGTGCTTGGTTCATCGCATTTCAGAGAAGGGTATAGAGGTTGATCGAGCTAAAGTTGAGGTGATAGAGCGACTTCCTCCACCTATATTTGTAAAAGGTGTGAGAAATTAGGGAATGCAGGCTTTTATCGGAGGTTCATCATGGATTTTTTCAAATATTGCTCATCCTTTGTGCAAGTTTCTTCAGAAAGAGTGTAAGTTACATTTAGATGAATCTTGTATGAAGGCATTTGCTGAGTTGAAGGAAAAGTTGGTCTTTGCACCTATCATCATTTCTCCGGAATGAAGCAAGCCTTTTGAGGTGATGTGTGATGCGAGGGGTTTTACTCTTGGTGTGGTATTGGTACAAATAAGGGACAAAATCCTTCATCCCATTTACGATGCTAGTAAAACCTTTAATGAAGCCCAAAAGAACTACATCGTGACTGAACAATAGCTCCTTAGTAGTCTTGGCTTTAGAGAAATTTCGCTCCTATTTGCTTCACACTAGAGTTATAGTGCTTACTGATCATTGTTCTTTGAGATATTTGATGGAAAAAAATGTGAAACCGAGGTTGATTCATTGGGTATTACTATTTCAAGAATTTGACTTTGAGGTAAAATATAGATTAGGGACCAAAAATCAACTTGCTGATCACTTGTCCCGATTAGAAGATGAAGCAATGAGAGAGTTGCATGAAAAGTCTGAGAATGATGATACTTTCCCTAATGAGCATGTACTGGCTGCCACCCAAGACTGGATTCCATGGTTCGCAGATCTTGTTAATTGTTTGGCTAGTGACATTGTCCCACTGGACTTGTACTTTCATCAAAGTAAAAAGTTCATGCATAATGTGAAAAACTTCTTTTGGCATGAGCCATTATTATATAGGAGTTATGCTGATGGGCATATTCGGTGTTGTGTGCCAGAAGTTGAGATGTTGAGTGTTTTGGAGGCATGCTATTCTTCGCCAGTAGGTGGGCATTATAGTGGTATTCGGACTACTCACAAGATCTGGCAATGTAGCTACTATTGGCTAACCATCCACCAAGATGCTCATGAGTTCACCAACGCATGTTATATATTCCAAAAAGATGGTGGCATTTCGAGAAAGCAAGAGCTACCCCTAAATTCCATTCTTGTGATTGAGTCTTTTGATGTGTTGGGCATAGACTTTATGGGCCCTTTTGTGAGTTCTCATGGGATGAATTACATTCTTGTGGCATTGGATTATGTGTCTAAATTTGTGAAAGCTCTTGCGCTCGCGAATAATGAAGTGAAGAGTGTCACCACATTCTTGAAAAAGAACATATTTTCCAGATTTGGCACCCCGAGGGCTATTATTAGTCATAGGGGATCTCCCTTTTGCAACAAGCATTCTAAGGGATTATTGGAATAATATGGGGTTCGCCATAATGTGGCCACTCCTTACTATACTCAAACTATTGGGCAAGTTGAGTTATCAAACATGGAGATTAAGAAAATTTTGTCAAAAATGGTGAATACTAATAGAATGGATTGCTCAAGGAGGCTTGACGATGCTCTTTGGGACGACCGGACATAATACAAGACTCCCATAGGTATGTCTCCGTACAATATTGTATATGGAAGGCTTGTCACTTACCGATCGAATTAAAGCATAAGGACATGTGGGCAATGAAGAAGTTGAAAATGGATTGGAATGAGGCTGCGGAATAGAGGTTAAACGGGTTGAATGTGCTTGATGAATTTCTCTTGAAGGCATAAAAAAGTTCATCCCTCTATAAAAATAATATGAAGAAGTACCATGACCAAAAGATTGAGAAGCGCAATTTTTGGTAGGGGATTTGGTGCTTTTGTGCAATTCTAGGTTGCGTTTATTTCCGGACAAACTCAAGTCCAAATGGACTGGTCCCTATTTGATCCCCCAACTATTTCCTCTTGGTGTGGTTGAGTTGGAGAATAATGAGGGTGTAAGGTTCAAGGTGAACGGGTAGCGAATAAAAATATATATAGGGCATGCTGAAACGGTGAACGAAGTGATTGAGGCATGCAATCTTAATGAAGTCTGAATAATCAAGAGTCCTCCATCGTGCCGCGATGGTAAATCAAGAACTTATAGGGAGGAAATCCAATATGTATCCTCTAGCCAACTATAGGTTTTTCATGATTTTCTAGGCATAGTTGCATTATTTTTTTATTTTATTACTTATGTCACGTCTTAATGTTCCTTTATTTTTCTTTATAAGTGCTCGCTAGAGAATAGATTAGGGTCCGTGTCAAAAAAGTGTCCAGAAAATAAAAAAAAAGATTAGCTTAACGTGTGTTAAATGTGCAGGTATCAAATCACATGAAATCTGCAGAAAATTGGTATGCTGCATCCATCGACGGACCGTCGGTAAGATCCGTCATGCCCAGGTATGTGTTTAAAATTTTCCAAGTTAGGGCACCCAAGACGGACCCACATGATGGACCGTCAACCCTTTGATGGTTCATCGACAAGAAATCATTGCGTCTTTACACACCGACCCGACCCGACCCATTCGGCTAAATATTAATAGTTTTAAACCTTTAAATTTCCCACCTCTTCACATAACTCTTCATAACTGTTTCCCTCCTTATTTCCTACAATTTCTCCCCACTTCATTACCATTAACTCCCATTCCCTCTCCATCTTTTTATTTCCCACATTTTCCCCAAATTCCCCCAATCCCTTTCTCTTCCAAATTCTCCCATTTTCTTTGTTCCTTTGTTGGTCGGTGTTCGTGGTGGTTGTTTCTGTTGTTCTTCTGATCTGTGAATTAACTATTGTTAATTTTTTTTGTTTTCTAATAAAACTTGCTGTCTTATTGTGTGGGTCTCAATTTTATACACTTATTTTATGCTAGAACTCACCCTTATAGTCCTAAGTTCTCGTAGAACATTGATATTAAAAAGGAATGGTGGTGTTTTGTTAAAAAATAGTGTGTGTTTTCTAACCTAGCTTGATAGGCTGTCAAAAATTGAATGCTCAAATTTTAAAATTCATGCCCTACAAATAATGGGATGCCTGGGTAAATGCTTAGTAAACTTAGGCTTCTTAGAATACTTCAACTTAGTATGATAGGGTATCCAAGTTTGGCTTCAAAACTGTGTTCCCTGAAGATTAGAAAGAGACCAAATCGACGGATAGTCGGTCTCTCGAATGACTGTCATTGGGGTCTGTCACCCCTAACTTCCCTTATTTAATCTATGTATCCTTTAATGGACCCCTATGATTGACAGTCGTGCCTTCAATGGTTAATGTTGCACAACTGTCGACACTATTAGAACCTTTATTTCTAGTGTTTTCAAATTTTAACTCTCAGTGTCCCACGACGGACCCCTGTGACGGACCGTCGTGCGTTCGACGGTCCATCCTGCCCAATCGTCAACACTGTCAGAACCTTTGTTTTCGATGTTTTCAAATTTTAGTCTAAGTTTCCCTCGACGGACCCCTATAACGCCTGTCGTGCCTTTGAAGGTCCGTCCTACACAAAAGTTGCCACTATCAAAACCATTTCTTATGATCATATACAAAAATTTCAATGAGTATTCCTCGACGGACCCCCATGATGGACCGTCATTCCTCAGATGGATTGTCTATGGGTCCATCATGCAGTGCTGCAACTGTTGCACTGCCATTCCATTTATGTTTCTACTTTGTTGCTTTCGACTTTTGCATGTACTGGTGCTAATTGCTTTTCTCTACAGGTACTAATCAACAAAAACAAGACCGCGTCTACTTACTAGGGAGTTCCAAGTCCGTCGCCCCGTCTGTCTTGATGCTAATAGGCTTAAATAATGAGTGTGTCCTAGAGTACGTGTCACCAGGAACTCTCACTTTAACTGGTTCTTCCGCACCACCAGAGCCACGCCCATGAAGGTGGCGCCCTAAGGAGTCACTACCTTCAGTATGAAGAAAAGCGCATACTAACCGACACACCTTCTGGGTCTGCTGCACAGTCTGAGAAAGCATCTTGATCCAAGGATGCTTCCGAATCTGAGGAACTATTTGGTTCTAAGGATGTCTTTGGGTCTGAGGAGGCCTCTTCTCCCACCATGGCATCCCGGTCTACCTCATCTGATGAGGATAATAGGGATGACTCAACTCAAGACGCCCAGACTGACGTCCCTACTACGATTATTGATCAGCCCAACCGGTGGTGTGTCAAGGGGCAGTACCAAATATACACTAATGACAAGATGCACAATGACAACGGGATCATGACGCAGACCCTGACACTTGAGCTGCAGATCCTCATGGCGAGTCTTCCAACCATGACCTCCATCCATGAGTTATTCACCCGAAATTTGCTGGAGTTGATGGCTAGAGATGTAGGCCGCTATAGTGAGGAGATGGTCCGAGAGTTTTATGCCTCCTATGTGTAGACTCTTCGATCTCATCTAGACAGGCGGGTAGCCCCCCGCCAAACATACTCCTTTGGATTACATCTGAGTCCACGGCAAATGGGTTGACATTTCCTTATCGGGCATCTGTAGGTTTCTCTATGGAACGGATGTTGATGCCACTAAGACACCTCTCACCGCTGAGTTTGACTATTGGTGGAAGTTGATTTAATATTGTTGGTTCCAGCTTGAGCCAAAGTTGAGAGAGACCACCAAGCATTTGATTGCACAGTACCTTTCAGTCGATGCTCAGGATGCCGATTGGGTGTTGGAGCCCAAGGGAAGTATCAAGATGGCTAACCTCATCTTCATAGCCATGTTTTGCGGTTACAAGTCCGACAATGTCTTTCCCCCACTGCACCCTACAACATTTTAACTTGGGATCATGCGGTAGTGATGGAAGTGATGATTGCGGGTTTCGAGGTGGACTTCGCATGGCAACTACATGTGGTGATGCACGAGAGGGCCTTTATGGCCACTACTACTTACCCCATCCCGTGCATTATTTTTGCTTTGTGCAGGTTAGCAGGAGTGCCCGTCTGGAACATTGATGTTCTGAAGACCCCGTCTAGCATAGTATATATTAGCCTTATTCGGGATGATGCCAATGAGTTGGCTCCCCATAGAGGGACCCAATGAGTTGTCTCTTCATAGAGGTCCCCATCCGATGGTGCAGCAACTTTGTGAGAACCTAGTGGCAACGGTAGATCAAGCATAAGCCTATCTTGGATATATTTGAGCCTACCAACACCACTCCAGTCGAGTCTATATCGGGTGGTAGAACCTCTTTGAGCTCCTCCTGCTCAACTCCATTTTTCTAATCTGGTCTAGATTACTAGGGTCTACAAACTTGAGGCCCAACTGGCCAAACTTATGCCCCACATCCAGCCTTGGATGCATAGGTCTATTGCTGAGGTAGAGGAGCGCTTAGAGAGGAAGATGGACCAGAACACTAAGCGGAATGTCATGGAAGTCCACCAGCGCTTGGACGCTTTTGAGCTGCAGGTGCTTGCCCGAACATACCCTACAGTGGATGTGACGACTCTCTAGGCTGCTGTGGAAAGTCTTAGAGCAGACCTAGATACTATACTAGAGGCTCAGGTGCCGGAGTCAAAGGCCCCTTCTACTGAGTCCACTGAGGACACAGTGTTGGCTGCATTGTTCTCCGCTGCCAAAGTGCCACCACCTATCCCATGAGAGAGTGCCAAGATGCATCAGACTAGAGATGAGCATGAGTCCCGGGCTCGAAAGAAGAAGCGTAATGAATAGAAGGCTTCAAGGAGAGCCTCACTTACTGATGAGGAGGCCCACCAGTTGAGGGCTATAGAGTTGGCTGCTGGGGCGTATAGCTCCAGTGTTGTTGAGGCTGAGAGGACCATTATTGATGGTTCTGTTGTTGCTAAGGACAATTATGAGGGTATCCCGATTATATAGGGAGCGGGTTCGAAGCAACCGGACCCGCCATTTTGTTGATTGCCAGTTCTTTGCGCCTCAGGTTTACTTCACCTACCACCCTTTTTTATGTACTTTTATGCATTGGGGACAATTGCATGTGTTTTTTTTGGGGTAGGGTAAATGAAAAGTGAGTGCTTACGTTAAGTCTGAGAAGCCCAACTCACGATCCTCTCTTGGGTTTTTCTTGCATGTGTTCTTTTTTCCTAAGAGACTTGTAATTTTTATTTTTGAACCAACATATTGGTATCTTTTGTACATAGTATAGAAATGGAATCTGAAGCATGATGGCTATACAAAATGATATTGTGATTTAAAGAAAATGCTACATGACTAGGCACAGTAACTGATAAATGTGTGGCTCTAAGCAGGACATAGAGATAAACCATTGCATAAACCTAAATTTAAAACTCAAACTAGGTTTATGATAATTTGTTGGAGTAATGAGATTTTAAGTGCATGTGAGTAAAATTTGAATATTCAACCATTGGTTTTGAGCTATAACTTACCTGGTTAGTCCTGCTAAAGTAATCCATAATA